ATGACGACTTATGAACTAAATAATATTACGAGCCTAACATGACTTTAAAGTTGGTACAATAAGACATTTTTTACTAAGAATATCTACAAAGATAACTAACTAATGGTTTACAATGTTAAACGTATGGTAATAATAGGTTTATTAGCACCAACGGCGATTGACTGATAAAATATACATACTTAGGGTTAGTGATCGGCAAGAGATCTGCAGACAAACAAGGTTATATTGACCGACTCATGTAACGTTGTGTCACGTGATTTAAGGCATTAAGAGCTGCGGTTCTGAGGTTTCTAACAAACTATATTAATATTAATATATGTTGGGGTATTTACTTAGTAGCATCCGGTGATATAAAGTGATTTTGTTGGCGAATCCAAATTGTAGGCAAATTTGCCGACAATACAGTTTAAGGGATAATCGAATCGTTTTCATTTCATTCAATTCTCCGTTTGCGCAAATAAGATGTATCAGTATTGGAATTGGTAATGTAATAACAGTTGCAGTAGTAGGAGTTGTTTCAACTATTTCAACTCTTATCACAGCTATTATTTCTTCTCCAAGGCCTACGGTCGCGGCAATCGAGACCAGCCTGAAGAAAAAGGCACAAGATGACTACAAAATGCCAGACAAAGAGCAAGTTGAAAAGGCCAAGTATATACTCGAAGACCCTGATGGCCTTTTTTACCATTTCGCTGTTGCTGGAGTTACTGGTACTGGGAAGTCTTCTTTAATTAATGCTCTCCGAGGTTGTGAAGACAATAATGCGAGTGCGGCCAGGGTTGGCATTGTTGAGACAACTATGGACATAAAGCGATATCCAGACAGAAGCTCACTATTTAAGAAGTTTGTATGGTACGATGTTCCAGGTGCTGGCACACAAGCAAATAGAGGGTGGCAGTATTTCAATGACAATGGGCTTTTTGTTTTTGACTTCATTATCATTTGTTGGAAAGACCGAATCTCGGAGACCGATATGCAAATCCTCGATCAATGTGAAAAGTTTGAAATACCTACCTTCCTTGTGAGGACAAATTCCGAAACACACATCCGTAACCTAAAACGAGACTGCAAGATAACAGAAGAAGAGGCAATCAAAAAGCTTATCAAAGACACATGTGAAAGTGTCAAAAAAAATCTCGAAGCCGGCAATTATAATGATCCGAACAAGAAGGTTTATATCGTCGATAGATATGTCCTGGGCGAAATCGTTTCTACAAAGATGCATTACTCAAATATTACCGAAGATGATCTTCGTGAAACAGTAGATAGTGTAGAAGGCATAATTGACGAATGCAACCTTTTAATGGACCTGCTTAATACGGCTAAGGGGGAGGCAAAGACAGAGGAGTTGAAAAAGGAGTTGAAAAAAGCACAAGATGCCTGGTTCCAAGGCATTCCTCCAGACAAAATACCTGACGAAGAGCAAGTTAAAAAGGCCAAGTCTATGCTCAAAGACCCTAATGGCCTTTTTTACCATTTCGCTGTTGCTGGATATACTGGTACTGGG